TGAGAAAGGGGGCTGGGAGAGGGCAGGTCTGCTCTGGAGGGGAAGCCCCTGAGTCCAGCGCCTTCCTCGGCAGGCTGCGGCGGACAGGGGCAGCCTGGGGTGCTTCAGAGGCACTGGCAGCCCATGCCTTTGCTTTGGGTGCTGCTTTGATCCTCACTGGTGCTGCTGCTGAGGGCCTAGCTGATTTCCGAGTAACCACTTATGTTCTGCTTTCATTTATGTTTTCTCCTCTTCTCTCTCTCCCTTTTCTCCCTTGCCTTTTCTCCTAGAAATTTCGAGTAGATATGCCAGGATCAGGCAGTGCTTTCATCCCTACAATCAACGCCATCACAACTAGCCAAGACCTGCAGTGGATGGTCCAGCCCACTGTCATCACCTCCATGTCAAGCCCTTACTCTCGCTCACACCCCTACAGCCACCCCCTGCCCCCACTGTCATCAGTGGCTGGGCACACGGCCCTTCAGCGACCTGGTGTGATCAAAACCATTGGAACCACAGTGGGCCGGAGACGAAGAGACGAGCAGGTAACCGTGGTGGGGAGAGTGGCTGGGTGTGCCTCGAAAGCAGGCGTACAGAGATTTCCCCCCGCTGCCATCTCTCGGGATCTCCTGACCCCATGGGGGAGCATTGAGGTCTGTCCCCTGCGCTGTACAGGTGCTGGGATTTCTCAGGGTGACATAGGGTGTAGGCTGGCAGGTGATTTTTATTGCTGCTTCCTCATCGTATGGCAAGACTTACCCAGTCTCCATCAAACACTTCGCATTACTGGGCCACATTGCGGCTTGGTTTCAAAAGCAAGTGAAACTCTGAAGTTGAGCCCTGGGTTTCAGTTTGAGTGTCTCTGCTGCTCCAGGCAGAAGGGAACCTCTGAGCAAGCAGAGGAGCTTTCACGTAGGTCCTTTCCAATCTGACACCCAAATCACATCAGCTGGTGTTTTATATCTGCTCTGTGGTAGCGAGTGCTGCTCCAGTCTCACTTTTGGGTGATACCACCAGTACCAGCCAGCATCGTGCAGGGAGGAGCAGCTTCCCTAGAGCACCTTGATTCTAGTAGCAAGAGCCTTCTGGATGTCTGGTGTCTAAATCCACCTTTCCACTACAAACATGCAATTGCTTGATCTCTTTACAGCAGTGAGGTGGGGATCTCGTAAGCAAAGATTTTTCTGCTCCCAACCCAGTGGCATTTTCATAGCTGGGATGGGGTGGCTTGTACCACTGTTGCCCTGTGCTCAGCCTCCTGATGGGATTATTGAGCCAGACCCCTGGATCCTGTGCTGGGGCAGGGCAGTAGACTAGATGCAGGCATCTCATCTTCTGGAAATCCTTTCAGCCCTGTCAGTCTCTTCTTAGTAAGATACAGCCTTCTCCAGGGCTGTCTGGTGAATAGCTATCCACAGTGCTAGGCTGACTTTTTAAAAAAAAAAAAAAAAAATCTGAACAATCTAGATCTGCCTGAGCTGTTCCCAAGCAGCAGTTGTGGGGGTCACTGCAAAGCAGTGTAATGAGATGCACTGCGCACCCTCAGTACACAAGCACATGCTATTGCATGAAATCTGTTTCTAATAAGACTCACCAGCTCCACTTTTACTTCCACGTCATCTGTTTTGATTCACAGTCTGATTATTTTATGTGGAGTTGCTGTCTGCTTTAGACCTAAGAGGCAGGGAAGGGGTTAAAATCACTTGTCCTGAGTGAGCCACACCTCTGTGCACGGAGCTGGTATGGGCGCACTGAGGACCTGGTTTTGGGAGGAAGGATGGGGCAGCCATGGTGGTTCGGGTATGTGCCAGCCCTTTCCACCAGCCGGAGCTACCTCCCAGTTCCCTGCATGCAGGGCTGGTGTCCAAAGCCAGGGAAGCTCTCATGAGAACTGGGGGAATAATTAGCAACAACTAATTTGTTTGATAAATGCTGCCTCTGTGTTCACAAATTGGCCGTGAAGAGATCGCCATATTCTCCGCTTTATTTGTTGTTCAGAGTTATTTGCTGAAGGATGCCTGCCAAGCAATTCCTGGCCTGTGGCTTGTTTGCAAGCCGTTCATTGTGGGTCATTCAAAGCCAAGTCCTTTTGATTAGACACGTGCTAAGGCAGTTCCCGGGTGCTTTACCGTGGCTTTTTGGCTCAGGTTTCTGCTGTTGGTGCTTTGAACACCACATCGAAGTGCCTTTTTGGAAAACATTGTGTAACGCTTTACAAAAAGGGCCTGTTTTGATGAACATTTCTGCCAGCGAATGCACGTATTGGGCTTGGACAAGGTACAGATAATGCATACAGCAGGGGCACGAAAAGTGCCAAATCCAACCGTTTTCAAACAAATCCAGCAACCGCTGACAGAATACTCCTTTTAAGACCTGGTATAATGTTAAGCACGTCCAGATTAAGGGCTTCAGCCCCATCTATAAGATTTTTGCAAAGCATAGCCTCTGAGACAGATCATTTAAAAATGACTGAAGGCCCTGGGAGGAGAAGTTTTGGTCCTAGCATATTTCAGTGAGGTCTGTGCTTCTAAAGCATGAAAGGGCTCTGGAAAACTGTACGCAGAGGCCCCAAGTCAGTACAGAGTCTGTGTGCATTATGCTTTGCCATGCTGCAGATACTTGTGTGCAAATACATTTTTACCCTGTACATATATGGACTGGAAAGTGAACAAGCAGACCTGTAGCGGGGAGAGTGGTGCCTGTGGGGGCTCCTTACTGGGGTGAATATGCCAAAGCCCTGCCGGTTGCTGCCCAGCAGGGTGGAGGTATCCCCCACCCCAAGATGGAGTGTTCTGATCTGCTGATGGAAAAGCTTTCAGGCCTAAAACCTGTGTCCTGAAGTCCTAGAAGTGCTTGTGTTGCTCAGTGTGCATCTGGGGGCTCACACTGCATGTAGGTGAAATTGCAGGCATGGACTGGATGACCCCCCACCCCCAAAAAAAGCAGAACTGAGCGAGGGGAGTGCCCAGAGGCTGAAGCAAACTCCCTGAGACTGCAAAGATCAAAATTAAGGAAATAAAGTGAACCAAAACAAACAGAATGAGGTTAGAGTAACACTAAAAAGAAAAGATAGTAAAAGGGTGAATGTCTCATTTGTGATTTTGACAGCCCATGAAGATACTAAAACTGAAAGCTTTTATGAAAAGGTTTTTCTTTCCATTCTTTGCTGGCACTACGTGACATCTGACACCTGTTTTGCAGGGTGCTCATTTCACTTTTGGTTGCAGTCACCAGGCCAAAGCCCCAGCAGCACACACTGGCCCAGTGAGGCCAGAGTGCAGGGCACGAAGTTGGTCTGCAGCGGAGGAAGATGCATGGCCAAGCGTGTGCTGTGAATCCCCACGGCGATCTCTTGGCGCCGGCTTTTGCATGCTGTGTGCTGCAGCAGTGAGCCGGACCGCACTGGCCCTCTTCACGCGCTGCTGTACCAGCTGCCCAGCCTTGGCAGTGGTGCAAGCCTATCTGCCGCTGCTGGGATTTGTAAAACCTCATCCCAAAACCCAAAAGCTAGGCCTGACTTGACCAGATTTTGTGGGCTCCTGCTCACTTCCTCTGGTTTTGCAAGAGTGTCGCTCCATGGGTTTCTATGGAATTGCTCCTGATTTACATCAGTGAGGATGTCAGCTGGCCTCAGGAAGCCCTTGATATCACTGGAGCCTTGCCTGCTGATGCAAGAAACACAGTGCGTTATCTCACTGAGTGCTTGAAAATCTGAGGTCAGATTTTTGGGTGGTATAAATCACTGTTGCTTCAGGGACTTTATGGGAGCTCTGCTGGTTTCCCTGTCTCCCCCTCCACCCCATCCCTGACCTTCAAGCTAAAAACTATCTTTGTGTGGGAAGCAGCAGATATTTTCTTTCAAGGAAGAGGCACTTACAACATCGTGCTCTGGTTTTGCTTAATGTACCACCCAAGTTGTGAAACAATCAGAGCATCTTTTATCTGTTTGGCCTTGGTGCAGATTCACTGTCCTCTTACACAATCTTCCCCCTGCTCCCCGCTCCATCTTCTCCTCACCCTTCTGCTAAGACCCAGTGCAGGAAGAGATACTGTGTGCTTTCATCTTCTGCTGACATCAGTGAAGAGGGGGAGTGCTCAGCATCCTGCTGGATCAGGCCTTTTTCCTTTGCGTTGCGGTTAAATCCTCACAAACTTCAAGGAATGCCTTGCTCAGATCTGATTGTGGGTTTTCTTGGCACTTGCCCACAGCTGTCACCCGAGGAAGAAGAGAAGCGAAGGATCCGGAGAGAGAGGAACAAGCTGGCAGCTGCTAAGTGTCGTAACAGGCGTCGAGAGCTAACAGAAAAACTCCAGGCGGTATGTGCTCTGCATAGATTTCTCCTTCCTTGTCGCCCTCCCTTTGGACCAGCTCAAAGGGCATTGCTCTCCCTCCACTAGCACGTTCGAGGAAGATGCTACAAAACACATGCTGCCTTCCCCTTCCAAGGCCACCCAGTGGCGTTGCTCATACAATAACGGTGGTGAGGGCTCAGGCCTGGAGCTCAGGAGCCTAAATTCCCCTTGCTGACTGCCCAAAATGTCCTAGGACCTCTCTTCCCTTCTAGCCTCCCAACTAGCATTAGTCTCCCTACCTCTGGTCTCCCTCCATAAGTGGAAATAAAGATGCTCTGTGCCTCAAAGGCAAGCTTTAAGGACAAAAGCACCAAAGACAGTAGGATCATCTGAAAGCAGTAGAAAATGAGGCAGATGTTATGTGTACCATCAGAGCTATGTCCTTTAGGCTAACCTTTCTTGGGTGGGGGTAACTGTTTTCCTGCACAAAGGAAGCATTGCAGAGATGTGTGGTCTGTTGCCACAGGGGAAATAACTAGTTAAGCTGGAGAAGGTAGGGATGAGCACAAGAACCATGAGGTGGGTGTCATGGTTTAACCTCAACCAGAAACTAAGCACCACACAGCTACTCGCTCACTTCCCCCCCAACCCGGTGGCATGGGGGAGAGAATCAGAAAAAAAAAAAAAGTAAAACTCATGGGTTGAGATAGGAACGGTTTAATAGAACAGAAAGGAAGAAAGTAATAATGATAATAACAATAATAATAATAAAAGAATTGGAATATACAAAACAAGTGATACACAATGCAATTGCTCACTACTCACTGACCGATGTCCAGTTAGTTCCCGAGCAGTGATTCCCCCACCCCGGCCAGCTCCCCCCACTTTAGTGGGCTTGACATCACACGGTATGGAATACCCCTTTGGCCAGTTTGGGTCAGCTGTCCTGGCTGTGTCCCCTCCCAACTTCTTGTGCCCCTCCAGTCTTCTTGCTGGCTGGACACGGGAAGCTGAAAAATCCTTGACTTAGTCTAAACACTACTTAGCAACAACTGAAAACATCAGTGTGTCATCAACATTATTCTCATACTAAATCCAAAACATAACACTATACCAGCTACTAGAAAGAAAATTAACTCTATCCCAGCTGAAACCAGGACAGTGGGTAAGAGATGAGCTAAAGAGGAGGTAAGGATGGGTTGTGTTGAAAGAGGCTGGAGGGAAGGCTCCAGCGCTCCTGCTCAAGAACCAGCCTGGGCCTGGTTTTATTCGATGATCTTATTAACAAGCACAGCAGTAGCAGTGAAAGTGCACCAGTGAAATGTGTTGCTGACTCAAATTCAGGAGATATTCTCAGTGTAGGGGAGGCAGGACTTCCTATAGGAAGAATTTAAGGATTGTCATGACTAAAGTAATAGAAGGGAGAGGAGTGCAAAGTGAGAGGTCATATCTTGAAGGACTGAGGGCGAGATCTTTGTGAAATGGTGAGCTTCTCATACAGGAAGGTACTAATTGCTCACAGATTGACTATGAGCCATCAGTGTGATGTGCCCATGGGAAATGTAAATGTATTAATACTAGGATCCATCAAGGGATGATCCAGTGGAGATGAAAGTGTTAGTCCTTTGTGCAAGAGTCAGGCAAGTGTAAGACCTAATCTGGAATATGCATTAGAGAAAGAAAATGGAAACAGTTTAGAGATTGCTGTACACTACCTCTGTCTAAGTGAAAAACACAAAAAAACGATGGGAGGAGATCAGAGTCCTCTCTGCTAAGGTGTCTGTCAGGCAGACAGCAAGGGAGAGGAGTGCAGTCACAGGCCAAGACAGAGTGGTAGAAGCTGGCCATGACAAAACTAAGGTGAGTTCATGAGAAGACTATTCATAACCCTCAGGTTGGTGAAGTTTGGGAATAGCTTACTGGTAGACACATGAAACACAAGATGCTTGGCTGGCGATGACCTGGTGCCTGCTTGGCTCATGAAGAGTCTGGGGTGTATCTGCCCATGCCAGATGGGAACTCGACTTGATGGCCATGTTCCAGGTGAGAAGCAGTTCCAGAGCCTCTGATAATTTAGTCACTCCCCTTTTGTCTGCAGGAAACTGAAGTGCTGGAGGAGGAGAAGTCAGTGCTGCAAAAGGAGATCGCTGAGCTCCAGAAGGAGAAGGAGAAGCTGGAGTTTATGCTGGTGGCTCACAGCCCTGTATGCAAAATCAGCCCTGAGGAACGTCGGAGCCCACCATCCAGCAGCCTCCAGAGCATTCGGACTGGAGCAAGCGGAGCAGTGGTGGTCAAGCAGGAGCCTGTGGAGGAAGAGATCCCATCTTCCTCTTTGGTCCTTGACAAAGCCCAGAGGTCTGTCATTAAGCCTATCAGCATTGCTGGAGGTTTTTATGGGGAGGAGGCACTCAACACTCCCATCGTGGTGACCTCAACACCAGCCATCACTCCTGGCTCCTCCAACTTGGTGTTCACCTACCCCAACGTGTTGGATCAGGAGTCTCCTCTATCACCGTCCGAGTCCTGCTCCAAAGCTCACCGGAGGAGCAGCAGCAGCGGTGACCAGTCATCGGATTCCTTGAACTCTCCCACCTTGCTGGCATTGTAATCCCCCTGCAGCCCTCCATTTTGCCAGTGTGTTACACCCCCCACCTCCAGCACCATGGGGGGACCCCCCTCCATGGGATTAGAGACAGGCACAGGATCGTTCAAGCACAAGGGCAGCAAGAACAAGGATGGGGAAGTGCTGCAGCTCCAGGAAGGAGAGTGAGGACCAACGCCAGCTCCCTGGAGGCATGAAACGGCAAGAGTGGGACTGGTGCACCAGGACTGTTCGGAGAGGGTGATGTTCCCTCTGTAGAGACTGCCTATGGAAACCTCTTCATGGCTGTAGTGGACTTGGGGAGCACTCCTGGCCAGGAATGAAGGCGAGCTGCAGACAGTTGCTAGTTGTCCCTTTCCTTTGTGAATTGATCTGATCAGTTGTGCTCTGTGCTTAGATCATTCTGGTTAGTTGACCTTACAACTTCTCTTTTCCCTCTCTCTCTTTCTGTGCTTATCATTTCCAATGTTGTCGATCCCATGACATTTCATCCAGTTGCTCTGAACTGTAAAGGCTTGTTAGGATATTTCCTCTTGGGACAGACTGTGGGAAACATGCAGGGTGGCCCAGGCAGGAGGGGGATGGCTGGGAGGTCCAGGAGAGGGGGGACCAAGAGGAGCCCAAGGACTTGGCAGCACAGGCAGAACTCTTAACTCTGACCTGGGGCACAGAGACAGCGAACAGAGGCAGCAGGAGGCTCATGTGGAAGCCTTTCTTTTTTAAAATGTAGATACATTTATCCCCTTGGGCTCCTCAAAAAACAAGTTAGCATCTCAGGGCCAAAGTGGCATCAGAAAAGCTGCTGGGCTGGCACTTACCAGTGTCTTTGGCAGGGTTTTACCCCAGTTTGGTGGATATCAAATCTGCTGCTTGTTTACTTTTCCTGGATTGCCCGCTGTGTAGGGAGTGTTACGTCTTCCTCCCCATTGGGGCTCCTGACTCAGAGGCTGATCTCTTCCTGTTAGTTAATCCTCCCCTCCCCTTGGCCATATTTGCAGAACTTGTTACCGAAAAAGAGGTGGCACCACGTGCCTGTAAATCTAGGATGGAGACTGGCAGTGGGTAAGGAGGTGAAACTAGCTGGCTGTACCCTTGCTGACTTTTTCATTATTGGGAAACAAAGCAGTGCACATCCACCAGCTGATACTAGCAGGTGTTGTTTGCTCAGAGATTCCAAATTTCGGAGGCTGGGGGGAAGGCAATGATCCAACCTCCAGCACAGGACAGGCCACAGGGTTCTTCTGACCAGGCAAGAATGGCATGGTTGAAGTGATGACCTGTTTGAACCAGAACAGAGCTTCGGATAACCTCTGGTTATCAATGACAAATTGACAGCAGAGGAAAATCGATTACCATTATTTGCACCTCGGTCTTTGGCCTCTGGTTTTTTTTGCATTGTAATTGATCTAGGTTTTTTGAGGTTGATTGGCCTGAAGACAAAAAACAAATTGGAGGACTTTTTCCCTAGCCCTGGGTCCTTGTCTTCTCCAACCTGTGGGCTTGGCTGCTACTATTAAGTGCTTACAGAGGGCACAAGCTCTCCAGCGCTGATGTTCACTACTGAAAACAGTAATGTGTGTAACCTATTCCCACTTGGAGCCAAGCTCAATTCCTGTTGATGTCAAGGCACTGACAAACCATGACCATGTGCGCACTAGGATTGCCCAGCTTGCCAGCTAAGCCACTTAGGGAACAACTCTTTGGTCCTGCCTGTTGAAGCTGCGGTGGCAGCTATTTATTTTGTTGTGAGATTTTCTTATTCTTTTTTATAGATATATTTTTTTTTTAATCAACTGAAACCAGGGTATTTCTTGGTCAGGCTGGACCTGGAGAAATGCTATATACGATTATAGGGCCACTCCTGTGAGATGCTAAACTGCAGTCCCCTCCAACTCCACTGGGAATGAATAGGGTTCAGTCTTGTGGAACTGGACCTTTACTCAGCAGGGCTGACTTCCCTCAAACCCTGGCCACTGCCCATTCCTTGAGTCATTTCAAAGTGACACTACTTTAGCTCTAAAGGTAGGCTTTGCTTTTTTATTATTACTATTATTTTTAAACCCAAGTATTTACCAAACCTGCCAGAAATAGAAAGATACAAGTGATCTTTTGCATTGTAAAGCTGATTGTGATTCAGGCTTTTACTTTATTGCTTTAACACTTCCATCTTTATACCAGTTCTAGAGGTTTCAAATTAAGCTTACACAATAAGTAAAATTGATAAAGGAGTTCTCTTGTCCTTACATGAACATCAAAACTTTCTTTTTAATAAAGTAGACCTTAAGCTTCCTGTAGTTAGCACAGAGGATCCTGTTTTCATAGGGTTTTATGTAGATTATATCACTTCAGGTGATACTGCTGCTTCTCTAAGTGTCTCCATTTTGCCAGATGCTTGTTTGGGGCAGTCTGGATGGAGAATCTAAAACTGTTCAATAAAATGTCTCTGCGTGTCATTTCCACCCATTTTTGAGCAAAAATGCAACTTTGGCAAATGGTGAAACCTAAAGCAATGCAGCTACTTTTGAGGGCAGCTGAGACCAGGATCCATGTCTCCTGGGAGATCAGGAGCATTCCTGCTAGGGGTTTCAGGAAGTCGGGTGCCTCCTTAAACCCCGCTAAGCCTAACTGCTAGTGGAACAACAGAAAACTACTTTTGCTTACTGAATTGTTGCCAAAAGGAGCTGCACCTGGCCGTTGCCCACTGCCTTGTCATTGACCTTCTCAGAGACAGAAGGATCCTCTTTTCTGTCCTGTGATACTGACGGGAGCCATGTGAAACTACCCAGAAAAGAGGATTATATTCTACTATATGGAAAAAGCCCTGAATACCTTGTGCCTGCCTGTTTTGTCCCTCAAATCTCTCAGAGGATGTCTGTGTTGGGATCACTGGTCTCCTGCCTTCTCTATTTTGTGGATCAGCCTTACTTTTGTTTAGTTTCTGGCAGCCAGGTACAACTTGAGCTCTGCTGCTGTTTCAGTCTGGCCCTGCATTCTTCTTTTCAGGTTTACTGGTGTGCTTTTTGGGAATTGATTGTCTTCCCCATCCCCAAAATGGTATTTTCCATGACTATCTTTCCTGCTGATTCCTAAATGTAGTTACTGTGTGTTCTGCAGGTAATGGTGATGTGGGAGCTGTTATAACTAGTGTCTGACCACGAGTTTTGTCAGTTTTGTTTTTTTTTTTTTGAAAAAAGCCCAGGGAATTTCAGCTGGTATTGGGTCAACCCCCTAGGGACTGGCCCAACAAAGCCTCCAATAACATCTTAAATTAATCAATGGCAAGCTGGGAGGAGCAGTAGCAGCTGCATTGAAGGAAACATTCAGCTTACAGGTGATGTTTGCCATTCCAGTTTTGCCCTCATTCCTCCTTCCCAGTTGTGGCATTGCCTTCATCCATTCCTTTCTCATAGGTGTGGAGACTGGGTAAGTCTCAAACTGCTTATGGTGTGATAGGATTTGGGACCAACATGCTGGGGACAATAGCTCTCTGTTGTGTTTTTATAATTATTATTTAAATGACCTATTTGGTTCATCTGAACCTTTAGTTTTGCTTCTTACTGTATGCAGGATCCACCTGGCCTTCATCCTAAATGAAAAGAAAAAACAAAATGAAAACAAACCTAAGACATCCCCCTCCTCCCTGGTATCTTCTTATTTATTGGCAGGCAGCCGTCTTGTGCCTGTTCCAGCAGATCTGCCTGCCATTAATTTAACATCCTCCCAACTCACATTCCTGGTGTTTGGTTGTTGCTTCTTTCTTTTTTTTCTTTTTGTTGTTGTTGTGGGTTTTTTTTTTCATTCTAAAACAGACTTCTGAAATGTAAGAAATCTTATTATTATGACACTTAGAAGTTCATTTTCATTAGGAAGGCCAAACATTTTAAGAGGTGGGGGGAACAATCTACATTTTATTTCTTATTTATTTATCATGTTTACATCTTTTTTTTCTGTTCAAGACTTGGATATAATAAAGAAAGCATTAAAAATACTCCAATCTTTTTTTAGGCTAATAATTTTTTTTCAATTCTTTAAATAAAAGATTCTGGGGTTTGTTGTTGTCTGTATAAAATGTAAAAAGAGATGTGTTTCTAAAGATGCATTATCATTCCTCTGTGAACAGTAGGTGGAGTTGAGGACGAATCTCAGAATACAAGATAATAATAAAATCCCATCCTGTTTTACTTAATTGTTCCCCTCCTATCCTGTATGATTAAAGGGTTATTCCACTTTCTTGTTTGTGGTTACTTGATATTAAAACCATATTAAAATGTGTAGAAAATAGGTATCCAATTGTTTTTGCTCAGTGAGAGGATAAACTGTTGTATATATCTTGATATACTGTGTAGTTCAAAGTAACATCAATAAGGGATAGTGCATCTTTATTAGAGCGATAAGTTACTAGTGTCACTAAAGTCTACTTTAAGATTCTCAGATACAGAAAGGGCCTGATTCTGATTCCACTCTCCTGGGAGCAAATTGGAAACATCAGTAGCATTTTGCTGCTGCAAAGCAGGTGTCAGAGGTGGAATCAAGCCTCAGTGATTAATAGGTGACCATGAGGATTATTGAAGGTTTGGGGGCACCATTATCTTTTTTCCTCGAAAGTTTAGATCATGGTTTTTCTTTTTTTTGTCTGCAGTGAAGTAGTTTCTGCCAAGGAGATTCTTAAGGGTGACTGCTGAATTGGGACCCTTCCTTGGTCGTTGTGATCTTGATATCGTTCTTGCAGTCCTGGAGAATCTCAGCTCTGAGGCGTTCTCTCTGGTGTTGTCTCTTTTCTGTTCTTGTTATTTTACTGAATTACAGGCCTACAGTATTTGCACTAAAACAAAAAGCTTGTTAGAGAAAGCTTGCTGCTATGAAAGAAAGAACATATTAAAATGGTTTTGCTTTTACAATTTTAACTGAATAGCATTTTGTAGAATAAAATCAATTTAGACTGAAAAGAAAAAATGACTTCTCTTTTTTCCTCTGGACTCCCTCCCACCCCCCCCTTTCTTTTCCTCCCATTCCTTGGTGGTGTGATGTTCCCCCCCCTTCTCCTTTGGTGCTCAGTTGTAATGATTGGCTGTATTGTTGACTATGCTGCTGAGAGTTATGACATTTGTAAATCTTGTTTTAATGACATTGTGGACACTTTTGTATAGCAAGAGCTAACTGGAGTTCTTCTCTCTGTTAACTGAAGTCATTAAAAAGCTCCCTTTGCCATGAACAATTAAAAGCTCACATGTTCCTTCAATATGAACAAATGGGTACACCATTGCCAGGTGCCTGGTTGTAGCACATTTCAGGGCTTCTTTCATTAGAGCAGCTGCAATCCAGACAGCTGTTAGCTGCAACAATGGTAAATGGGGCAGAGGCTAGCAGAGCAGACCACCTGGGCTAAAAGGCAAATAATGCATTAATCCTTTCATCTTGGCTTCAAAAAGAAAGGGATGGAGCTAGAAAATACATGCTGAGGTGACTTTACTTTTTTTTTTTTTTTTTAATCCACATTCTCAGCCAGAAGGACTCAAAGCTTCTGCTCTGAAAACATGGAGTGGAGAGCATGGTTGGTTCACTGGTAGTAAGGAGGAGGTTAAGATGGGATTCTCTTGCTCACCTGGGAAAAGCTGCAGTCTCTGGGGTGAAAGGAACCCAGGTACAACAGGTTAGCAGTGGAGGATGTCATATTCAAATTAAAAAAGGAATGGTGGTAGGGAGGAGATGTTAGGTGAGTCATGGCTAGCCAAGCTGGCACCAGGCCAAGCCGCTCCTTACTCATGGGTTTCTTTAAAAGTAATGTCTGCTCTGGCTTCCTGCTGGTCCCTGTCCCTCACTCATTTCTCCCCCCACCCCCCTTTTTTTAACCCCTGTGTTCTCACAGTGCCATGGTGAAGGAGATCAGAGATGTTGGAGTAAGTTACGTGGCTGGTGTAGGAAAATATTTGTGAAGTCATGGGGAATGCTGAAGGTATCAGTTACCAGAACGGGGGATACATGCACATGCCTATGTGAAGTGAGCTCAGCGGTCAGGAATCCGTATTGTAGGAAAGCTGACACGAGGTCACCATAGGAGGGTCTGGGCTGTAGAGCCGGAGCCAGCCTTAGGGTGCCCCATGGGGTCAAGGATGACACAAGGGGTGAGGGAGAGCCTTTGGGAGGCTTTTTCTAAATGTGCTTGTCCTGGTGGGGCTAAAAGAAAAAGTAGTTATTCTGGGAGGCATGGCAATTATAACCAAATATGCTGAAGGACCCAAGAGCATCATCTCTTAATATCTACCTCCAAGGGCCTCAGGCATGGGGGAGTCCCCATTTGACCTCCTACTGCACACAAGCTTTCTCTAAGGGGAGTGCCTCCAGAATTTCCTGCCTCATGAAGGGCTTTCCCATGACGCTGGTGCACAGAGGCATCCAGCCTCGATTTTTGTCAAACTGGGTTCTTTGGCAGTGTATCCCCCCTCTGACCCCTCCCCAAAAAAGGCTAACAGGAGGATACATTCTTGCTTGCCTTCTGCCAATCTGAAGTGCTCCCTAAACTCCTGTTTGCTGACAGAACCCTTCGAAAAGGCTTAATGTTGCTTTTCTGCAAATGTTGGTTGCAAGGCTAGGCCTCCCACCTGATTTCTTCCCAGCACTGGCTGGTTGCAACTGCCTTTTATCATCATTAGCTTGCAGACACTGAAATGTCCATAGCAGTTACTATAATTTGGTTTTGAAGGATGAAATTACACAGCAGAGCAAACTGTTTTCCACCAGTCTTCTAGCTGTGGGAGGCCAAATTCTACCACATTGACATGGAAATTGTGTTTTTCCTGACATCCTCATCTCATTTTAGATCTCTACTTCACATAGGGAATTTCCCCTCCTTCTGAAACAGGGTCACCCTCCCTCCGCGCTGTGATGCCCAGACCTCACACAAGTGAGGGATCTGTGTGTTTCTATGGGGCAGGCAGTTGTGCTGGAAGAGAGATCACCCATTCCTTTTGCAAAGAAAGGATGTGAGGGGCATCTGCACCAAAAACTCTTCCATCAAGATCAGAAAACATCCCAATGATGTCTTTAGTGTGCACGAGAGGCTCCCCGTTCTCTTTTGCCTGTCCCCTTCCCATAATACAAGACTCATCTCTGGGCTTTCCTTATGGTTACATTTCTT